GGTTGACCCCCGGGCTACTAGACTCTGTACCTCTGACTGGGTTGGACCAGGCTTTCCACCCGTTCGAAGACCACTATAGCGGTCGCGAGGGCGGCGAGCAGCATCTGCCAAGTCCTCGCCGGCCGCGAGGCTATCCAGCTCTTCTTTCCTGCAAGCGTCACAGTTGTCAACATGTCGGCTTCCCAGAGCTGGATTTCGGTGGATGTTAGGCTGGGTAGTGAACAACACTGAGTCGCGGGGTAGCCATGAAGTTGTATCAAGTTCCGAGATAACTGATCCTCTGGGTTCATATGTAGTGACATGGTGAACCTCGAAGGCAGCTTCAACCAAAGCCGAAGCAAGGCGTGACGGGTCTGTTTCGGCGCTGTGAACGACGCGTACTTCGTGGGTGAGAACCGACACATCGATATCCCTCACCCCATCAATGTCTGATAGAACTTCATTGATGTATGCGACGCAAGAGGAGCAATGGATGTTGCTGACAAAAAAGATGCTTCTGAGAAGTCTCGAGTCCTGTCCAGCAGGAACTCGAGAGTTGGTGTCTGTTGCCGACGGCGACATTGTCGAAGGGGGGGAAGGGAAGAAAGGAAGAGATAAGGAAGGCGCAGGAAAGACAGACTCAGTCACTGCTTTAAAGCCCTGCCTAGCAGTAAGAGAGCTAGGTAGGGAGAGAAAGTTGTTTGATAGAATGAAACAGAGAAGGCGTCGACGGCGGGTCTTGTCAGTTGATGTCAAAAGACGCCAGAGCTCTAACCGGGATTTGACACCCCCACGAAGACGAGACAGTTAATGCAACACGCCTCGCTGGCGTATTAGCGCAGGGGAAAGCCTCTCGAGCAATGAGAGCGACAAGTGGACAGGATTGCGAGGTAAGATGTTGCTTTTCCTGTCTGAGATTGAGTATTGCCTACTGACAGCGGCTATGGTTGCAGATCGCAATTGCTCAGTCAACAAGTAAGGGATGAGGAAGGGCGAACTCTCTACAAATAGGCCAGAAAGGAAGGAGGGAGAGAGTGGAAGAAATATGAATCATCATCAATATCATGTTTCTGGGTTCTTCGATCAGGGAAGGGGAGGGAGGAGGGAGGCAAAGCTGCGCGTTTTGTGCGTCAAAAGAAGAAGTGAGGATGTTCTGGGGCCGCGCACAAATGGCGCATTCCACTCCAGTCATTTACCCACTTCACCCTCCACGGAGAAGAAATGCTACTGTGTGTAGGTGATGTAAGTCATATGTACCAACTGCCCCTGGATGAACGATTCTTATCAAACTTCCCCATCGTGGGCGCATGTGATTGAAGAGATCCATTCGAGTCCTCTGCTGGTAAACCGGCATTATCTCCCGATACTACGAGTATCCCTGTGGAGGAGAGTTTAGACAAAAGTGGGAATTACATATGTGGCGAAATTTTTTAAAGCTCCGGCATTTGGTTGATCTGGATTGGCTCACTAAGCAGTTAGCGGATCTTTTTGGTGGATTCGGTCCCAGTTTAAGCTCTCAGGGGAAAAAAAAAAATAAAAAGATGGATGGAAGTTGAAGATGCGATCGTCCAGATTAGATTCGGCTGATCGAGGAGGCTGCTTTAAACGCCTATTTCCTTGGCCTAAATATATAGAAACAACTTTTACAAAATTTGAAGTGAAGCTTTGCACGTAACTTTCACTATAGAATGCTGTGGTTCTCAATAGCTGAGGGCGAAGTGGCAGATAGTACTAGTAGTAGCTAGCTGCAAACAGCCTAACATGGCCTAATGAAACGGTACCACCGGACTTTTAACAGATAAGATACACTGGAAATTATCCCCAAATTGAGAATTCGAAATGAAATAAATAAATCCACAGTTCGGAAAGGGTATTGAAGCAGCTGCAGGTCAGCTAGCCTGCAACGGGGATTGCAGCATTTCCGGAAAGTGCCTCCTCGGGGACTCGAACGAGAGACAGTGAGGAATGAGGCAGAAACGAACTTCGGCCTTCAAGACACGGTGTGCCACGTGACTCTTCCATTGGACCACCGCGACAGGCGCGTCATAATTTTCACGTCGGTGATGCGTCGCGCCCACTTGAATCACCTCCATTTCATTCTTCCCTTTTTCATCAACTACTTTTACTTATACTACCCCAGCTGCGGGTTGATTTCTATACCCAGTTTCTCTTCACGATTTCTAGTCGGTCCAGTGAATACGGGGTTTTGGTTATCTTTCACCCGTATAACACCCCTACCAGCCCCCCCTGATAACATCTTGAAACCCCGCCGGAGTGTTCTTTGTGCGGTTTGTTCGCTCTTATAGCCCCTCCGTCTGGCTCGTCGCTGCACCTTCAACTCGACGATTGGATCACGCTACGTCTAGGATCATTGTGTGGACCATATAGGCATGATAGACCCTGTGTGATCGATTGTCTATTCTTCTTTATCTTATTGGACCAACCTACTACCACCGCTCGTGGACATCATCGACCCCCCAACAGAGCCATCCCGTCGCATTTACAATGTCCGTCCCTAGGCCTGGGATGCGTGCTCCCATTCCCCCACGCGGCGGCCCAATGCCACCTATGGGAAGACTAGCCAGTCTGAAATCGCCCAATCCAACTCCAATCAGGCGTCCCCAGCCAATTTCTCGGCCTCAGCCTGCCAGGCCAACTACCCACCCCAAAACCTCAACTTGCCCTAACCCGGGCTGTCCTGCCCCTCACATCGTAGAGGATGACGGCCAGAAGGTTTGTTCCGGGTGTGGTACTGTCATCAGTGAAGCAAACATCGTCTCCGAAGTGACGTTCGGGGAATCGTCGTCAGGTGCAGCAGTCGTTCAGGGTACCTTTGTCGGCGAAGATCAATCCCATGTCCGCAGTTATGGCCCTGGCTTTCAGCGTGGAGGCGCTGAAAGCCGCGAGATTACGGAACAAAACGGTAACCGCTACATCACTCAGCTATCTCGTGCCTTGACTATTCCAGAGAGTGCCATGAAGGCTGCTGGTCAGGTGTTCAAGCTGGCAGTCGGGTTGAACTTCATTCAAGGTCGAAGGACCAAGACTGTAGCTGCTGTGTGTTTATACATTGCCTGTCGTCGGCAGGATGGCAACACCATCATGCTCATCGATTTTGCCGATGTCCTAATGATCAACGTCTTCAAACTAGGCCGGACCTACAAAGCTCTGCTTGACGAGTTGCGTCTGGGTGGTAACGTGTTTCTGATGAACCCGATTGACCCGGAGAGTTTGATCTACAGATTTGCCAAACAGCTTGAATTTGGGTCAGCTACCATGCAGGTGGCGAGCGAGGCGGTCCGTATCGTACAGCGGATGAACCGCGATTGGATGACGACGGGTCGTCGTCCCGCTGGTATTTGTGGTGCCGCCTTGATTCTTGCAGCCCGCATGAACAACTTTCGTCGCACTGTTCGAGAGGTTGTCTACGTCGTCAAGGTCACCGAGATCACTATTAGCCAGCGTTTGAACGAGTTCAGCTCCACCGAAAGTGGTGAACTTACAGTCGACCAGTTTCGTTCCGTGCAGCTGGAAAACGCGCATGACCCACCTTCTTTTGCCAGGGCTAGAGAAGGACGAAAGCCATCACGCTCTTTCAAGAGACGGCCCACGGAAACGGCTGCCGAGATGGAGAGTGATATACAGGAAGCACAACAACACAGGCGTGTCGACTCAGACGGATTTGCTATTCCTAGTCTTCCCATTGATCCGGCATTATTAGCGGCCAGCAGCGGTCAACGTCGCCAATCGACTGCCTCTGCTGCAAGCGAAACCATTTCGGATGCTGGCGAGGAGCACGCCAAGTCTGCTCGCCAGAAGGGTCCGAAGAGACCCCCGCTCCCAGCACCTTCGCCAGATCAAATTGCATCGGAGGAGGCCTTGGAGAATGAAATGACCGCGCTGTTGTCCAAAGGATCGAACATGTTTGACACAAGTGCCGGTCCTCCGAGGAAGGTCGTCTCTGACAATACAGAGATCGACGCTGCGGAGTTTGAATCTGATCCGGAGGTGTCTAACTGTTTGCTTTCTCCTGCGGAAGTTGAGATTAAAGAACGGATCTGGGTCCATGAGAACAAAGATTATCTTAGGACCCAGCAAGCTAAAGCGCTCAAGCGAGCTCTGGCCGAGGCCGATTCCCACCCTGGCGCGGACGGTCGCGTGCACAAGCCGCGGAAACGCCGCCGTGGTAGACTGGGCGACGTTACTTATCTTGAAGGCGAAGGTGAAGACGCCGATGGCCGCAGCACTCGGGCTTCCACCCCTGCCGAAGCTACCCGTCGGATGTTGGAGAGAAGAGGGTTCAGTAAAAAGATCAACTATCGTCTTTTGGAGTCACTATTTGGCGACGAAGGGGCCGACGAGGCCTCCAAACCTAAGGAAGAGAGTTTGAGCCGAAGCCTGAGTCGCAGCCAAAGTGTTGTGTCACGCCGCAGCGCCAGTATCGAGCCAGAGGCGGCCTTGAGGCGTACCCGGCTTGCAACCCCCTCAAGTGGCCAACCTGCTGGAGCTTCTTCGTCTACCGCGGGTCCGGCGCGTGGCTCAGCGGTCCCTGCTGCTCAGGCCCTGACGGATCAAGGTGGGAAAGCGAGTCAGAATGAGCAAGTCCTCGGTCCCGCAGATGGAGCAAAGAACGAGTACTCGGATGACGAACAAGAGGATGACTACGACGACGAGGATGACATGGAGGATGACGGAGTTGACGCGGCGCTTGCTGGAACCTATGGTGACTATTATGACGAGGGGAGTGATTATGGCAGTGATTAAAGTTGCGATGATAGCAGGGTTGTATTTCACCGCAAGGCATGTACATAGAGTCCGGCGCCAAGTCGACGGGAATTTGATACCCAGTCATTCCAGGCTTAAATCTTGAAAAGCAAGTGATGGGGCATATGATCTAACTCGCTTGGTTCCTTCCTTGTTGCTTGTCTTGCCATTTTGAGGCCGATATCACGTGTAGCAGGCATCGAAACGAGACGAAACGCGTAGTCTGCAACTTCATCTCCCCACCTTATCCCAGGTCCATACACTCCACCAACTGCATCATCTATGCCATCAAACCTTGTGCCTCTTCCCCTCTTTTCGGTCTCGAACATTAATCCCCCATTGGTGGGTGTGTGGCAACTCACCACTTGGAGGCAAAGCCTAGCAGAACCCTATTATCAGGAGGCTCCATCGATACCATCGACTATGGCCCTGTTAGCAACCCAGAATGTCAGTAAATTTGGAACTATTAATAGGTTTCTGAGCTGCCTAGATTGTGACTTTCACGATCCCGGCAGAATTAAGGCAAGGGGCTCCCCCTTCTGGGAGTTTGATGGTGCGAGTTTGTGCGTACAGTTCAACTGCCTGCTGTTGGAGGGGGTCTTTTCGATATACGACAGCTGGAGCACATCGATCTACACTTGAACTCCTGTAACTGCTTCTATGTGCTGACGCTGCATATGAGTCATGGTGTGTGGTGGTGATATATCTATCCTGGAAATGATATTCGAAGTCTCCTAGCCTTGTGCCAGTCGGAAGTCGATCCTCCGCAGACCCTGAGGAATGTACAAGGTGGGCAGGTCGTATCGTTGAATGCTAGCAACCCGTCGTCTGACTCGCTGGTTCTTGTTGCAGGTCCGGTTCTCCATCCTATTGCGGCATTTACCGGTCCTTGGTATGGAGGATCCTGCGTCGATCTACAATGGGTTACTGGGGCTTCAGATATCCGATGGGGATACTACCTCATCATGAGGAGAACTATTCAGACTATTGCGCTTCCTGCGCACCAAATTTGTGTGCCACGGGTCCACAGAAGTCTTGACCCCCCTGGTTTTCGCGGTTAATGACGAAGATGGGATCCCACTAAGTACATATATAAATATCGTACTTCCAGTATACATTTAGCTTGAGGTTCGATTTCAGTCGCTGACCTTCCTCGCTCTGTTCCCACGGTTGCGATTATGGTCAGAATCAATATGTACGGACGGGGGCTCAGCCTTCGGCTGGCCATCATGTTCACCTGCCAAGCAGCATTCGCCTTATTCGGTGAGATACCTGATGAACGCGCCTAGGGTGCAGTATATGTTGACCCTCAGTTTTGTCATGGATAGGCTACAACCAGGCAGTGTTTTCTGGGATTATCAACAACGCTGATTTTCTCTCCATCGTCCACCATCCCACTACAGCTGTAATGGGAATCATAGTGTCTATATACAATCTAGGCTGTCTCCTTGGCACAGCGGTGGCCTTCTTGACAAGTGACAATTTAGGTTTTCGAAAGTCCGTGTGGCTTGCGATGTGTATAATTATAGTATGTGTCTCCCCAGACTCACTTTTCACATGCAGATGCTAACGGCGCTTTACAGATTGGGGCAACGGTCCAGACCAGCTCCTACTCCAAAGCGCAGTTGCTCGTGTCCCGGCTCTTCACTGGGATTGGAATTGGCATCATGACAACGACCGTGCCGGTGTACCAAGCGGAATTATGTGAAGCACGCAAACGAGGAATGTATGTCTGCACTCAACCTCTCGCTGTCGGTGTAGGTATTACCATCGCGTACTGGTACGACTATGGCATGAGCTATGTGGATGGACCTATCAATTGGAGGCTGCCCATCGCCAGTCAAGTGATCATCGCAATTCTCGTTATCATATTGATCTTAGGGTAAGTTGGACTGCCACGCGTTGTCCGAGCTGAGCATGTCATCTCACTTTTGTTGGACAGACTTCCGGAGAATCCTCGGTGGTTGTGCCGTCAGCATAGGAGGCAGGAGGCCTTGCAAGTTTTAAGCGACTTTTTTGATCTACCACTAGATCATCCAACAGTGACCCAGGAGGCTGAAAATATCTTCAGGGCCATAGACGATGGTCGTCCAGAGTATAAGTGGTCAGAGATCTTCAAGAAAGATGAGCTTCATACGGGTCGACGAATCTTGCTGGCGTATGGGCTACAGTTTACGAACCAGATGGGAGGGGCTCCCTTGATTGTCGTAAGTGAACCTCAAGGACACTGCATAGCAAAAGCTAACTCCATGCCCTAGACCTATGTCACTACAGGTAAAACCTACGGTCATTCCTCCCTGTGATGTCCGATCAATGGCTGACGACATGCCTACTCCTAGTCCTTGAAGATAACGTGGGCCTCGACGCCAAGTTGAGTTTATTGCTCAGTGGAGTGATCCAATTGATGTTTGTCATAGGTGCTGAGGAATTCCAGCCCATCCCCACCGCAGCAACAGAGCGCTGATCGTGTTACCGTAGGTGCTTTTTATCCCATCTTTTACTCCGATCGATTGGGACGGCGGAGCCCAATGATGTGGGGATCCTTTGGCCTCTTCGTATGCCTACTCATGATCTCCATTCTTCTGTCCTTCAAAGGTAAGCCCGGCGTATGGCTCGGAATACAGAGTTAGGGAATTGATCTAACACCCGGCACCGGCAGGGACGAACCTGGAAAAGTCGACCGCTACGGCCTCCGTGGCTTTCTTCTTTCTGTATATGCTCATCTATGGGGCCACGATCAATTGCATACCATGGGTATACGGGCCAGAGCTACTGCCCCAACAAGTCCGGACAAAAGGGTAGGCCAGGACACTCACCCCATTCCAACCGGTGGCGGGCCACTTTGGTCTGGAGTAGGGCTAACTCTCAGTACCGCAAATAGGCAAGCCATCGGAATTTCGGCTAACTGGCTCTGGAGCTTTTTCGTGAACATGATATCTCCGACGCTGATCCGAGACCTGGCATGGAAAGGGTATCTCATCTTCGTCGCCTTTAACCTCGCCTTTATACCGGTAAGTTCGGGACATACATTCCGATCCCCCCATAGCGCCACCGGCCTGCTGATGAATGTTTGCCAACGTCTCAGATCGTGTACTTCTACTATCCCGAAACAGCTAACTTGAGTCTCGAGGACATTGATTCCCTGTTCGGAGTGCAGAAGGCACAGCCTATTCGGGAGGATGACAAAGGGTTTACTTGGGTGGAAACCAGACCCGTGAGCTAAGTTGGGCCGGGAATGCAAACGAGACTGATAAGGACGGCAATTATGTCGTATATTAGTTCAACCCTTGTCTCCTATGAAACCAAGGATTCACATCAATAGGATGGGCCATGTAGTGGTTGATGGCGCGAGATGAAGGGAAGGAGAGGCTGGTGGGCAGTTTGGAGGTGGTGTTTCTGGGAGGAGATTCATGAACCCTATTATGGCTAAGTCTGTATCTGGCAAAAGCTGGCGATCTTGACCGCCACTTGCTACTTCCCCTCCCACATATTCACTCCTCTCTCCTACAACCAAAATATAGAAAAGTATTATCTTGATGTTTTTTTTTCTTTCATTCATTGTTTCTTTCCAAAGTGTTGACGATATGTGAAAATGGCAAATATATATCAACAATCAGAGAACCAAAAGGAGAAAAATTGAAATGAAACCAAAAAAGCAGCAACAGATCCAAACCCATGTGACCCAACCGGCCACATGACCATACCCATTCCCAGCCATCCCACCACCAACCCTTTGCGCCAAAGAAAGAATAAGATCAAATCCAAAGAAAGAAAAGGAAAGAAAAGTTCCACAAACATATGTCAAATCCGAATTTTAATTACGATGGCGAAGCGAAGATGACAGACACACCACCATCAGGAGAAGAGGAAAAGCGGAAATCAGAAATTTTGCTGCCGAACTGGTGGGGGTAAGAGCGGTTTCGGTCGAAGTTGAAAGTCGCTTCCGCTGTATGTCCGTCGAGTCCGTTAATCGATCGGGTTTTTTGTTCAAAGCGTGAGGTGTTATGCGTCGAAAGGTGCCTTTTCTGCTGCTGATAAGACTGCTGCCAATGGCTTACGCGTCGATCTCCATCCCCGTCCCCATTCCTACGCTGTTGTTCAACCCCATGCCGTTGCCGTGGTTCACGGGCTGGGCACAGAGAGTCTGGAGGAGTGGAAGACCTGAATCTACCTGGTTCGCGCCCAGCAGGTTCTGAGCTCCCATCGAGGCCATGCCGTTGTTGAGCGGCCTGTCTGCGGCATTCAGAATCTGTGTGCCTTCGAAAACGATGGGAGACGAGCGAAGGTTCATGAGGCAGGCTTCCCATGTGGAACCCACGAGCTGTCCTTGGGAGAGGTCATCGTTGAAAAGATAAAAGGCCGGTGTAGGGGAAACCCCCATTGGTGTCATTGGTCGTGCGGTGACAAGATAGGCATTGAGCGCCCGGTTCTTCAAGAGGATCTGTGAATCGGCCAGGTACGTCGCGAACTGCCGGTCAATGTACTTCTTCCAGCCGCGCACGGCAGCCGCCATATCGGCGTCATCGGTCGCAATCCGCTGCCAGCTGATCCCGAGGAGACGCGTAGCGTCGTCGACAGTGGGTTCTTCGGAGCGGTTACCCGCGTTGAGGATTCGGCGATTGTCGTCTTGGTGCTCGGTGTTTATTTTGCGCTGAATGGAGGAGAGGGTGATATCGTCGAAATTGGAAGCAGCGGGATCCAGACGCTGAGCTTTACGGCTAGCAGATGGACTGCCGGAACGACGCGACGAGACCGGGGCAGCGGTGGTGACATTCTCGACAGTCTCTTCATACCACGTGCCAGTCTGGCTTTCTGCTGAGATGGCCATCTTAGTGCGAGGGTTGAGGAGAACCATGCCTTCGCCATAGATGGGCTCTTCGACCTCTTGCTTTCTGGGTTGCGGAGCAGAAGCAGCCACGATGGACATGGGAGTGCTGCTTCCGTTCATGGCTTCTTCGAAGGAGTCTTCGTCACGCGACCTCTTGCGGGAGGGTCTGGATGGTTGGAAGGGGTTGTTGTTATTGGAGAAGAAGGACCGCGACTCTGTGTCGTGGGTGAACTTGGGCTGGCGAGGGAATTGAACAAAAGCGTGGTCCTGGGGAGGGGATAGGACCATCGCCGGGCCATCAGAGAGACCGTTCAGCAGCATTGGGCACATGGTGATGAATGCGAAGGCGTGGTCGAATGCAGCGACTACGAGATTGAAGCGAAAGGGAGCCTGTTCTGTCTGTCCAGTGAGCTAGAAATGAAGAACGAGAGCAACCTATGGATCTTGCGATCCAAGCTGTGTATATAAGTTATGGTGTGGCACCCAAAGGAGAGGACGAGAGGTGATGCGCGAAAGGGTGAAGAGAGGCAGGCAGGCAGGTGACAATGGAAGGGTACGAGATGGGAGATATGGAATATAAGGATGAAGGGTATCAAGAGGTAAGGATAGGAGCAAGATGAGATGGGAAGATTGACCCAAGATACAGTGAGAACGACGTGCAGGAGAGGAAGGGAAGAAGAGAGAGAGAGAGAGATGGATGGAAGGAGGATAAACGGAGGAAGGAGAAGATGCGCAGCCGAAACGAAGAAGCGAACCACGGGATCACCGGCTAAGATGTGGAGGAGAAGAAGCGGAGGGAAGGAAAGCAAGAAGGGAGAAAAGTGTGGGAGGAAAGCGAGGAACCAAACGAAACACGCGAAAGAAGCAGAAAAGGAAGGAGAAGAAGAAGCAGCAGAAGCTGACGGATGCGGACGAGAGAGCGAGAAGTCAGTGTGATCGGAGCTTCTTTGGATGCGCCTTGCGATCCTCCATTCATCATTGCGGAGAGCAGGATTTGCCATTGGCCAGACCCGTGTATTTACCGTGCCATACGCTTGTGTCGCCTGCCATTTCCGTGGGAGGTCTGAGAGTTTCGCAGGGATTGTGCACCCCTTGGCGTGACTGCATACCATACCGTACAGTAACAGGTGACGGGATCCACCGGGCTCAGATCAACCCGCAAGGATGCGCTCATTATTGGTCGAGGGGGAATCGTCCCGGGCAACGATGGGGTGGGTTCCACTCGCTAAAGCTCATTCTCATTGGCTCAATTGGCACGCCTCGTCCGCGCGGCCGCCCTCACTGGATGCAAGGCCATTGGCCGAACCACTCAGCTCAAGCCCGAGGCTTTCGATGCGCCGTGATTGGCTCAACCCTAAAGGCCCGCACTGACTGCTGACTGACCAGGGGGTTGCCAGCCAAGGAACTTTAGTAAGTAGTAAGTTAGCCAGAACTTGGCCCAGCTAGCCCCTACCATGTGATGCCTCAGGCACCAATCCGAAACTAACACTTGGAACTTGACGAAATTCTATTCGGTTGATGAGAAGGTTCTCCTCGTAAAGTAGTCAAAAAGAAAAATCCTATAGTAACAGGAGAATGGGATGACGAGCAAAAAAGGTCGCGAAAATGATATCCGACACCTGAACTTCCTGCTAGTTTCACACGTCACAAATGGTCATCGAGCCAAATCGCGAGCAATACACCGACAAAAAATCCTTCTAATAAAATAAATGGTAAAAGGAAGAAGAAAAAAACAGGGTCGCGCAACGAATAATTGTGAAAGCCCCGTCGGATTCGAAATCCATGTCGTATCAACCGTGTCTTCTGGGCCCGGCTGCATTCCCCGCATGTGGCCGGCCCAGATGCACCCCGCATCCCTATTCGTAAAGAACTACCCCGGCAGATGAAATATTATCCTTTATAACAGTAGATCACCATACGTATCCAAGTATGGCGGAAGAAAAGCGAACGTGACACGCGGGTAGAACTTTTGCCCCCCGGGACCTTCTCCAGTCCCCATTCCCCATCAACATAAGCTACCACTCCTGGCTCACCTCAGACGGCGCCTGAGTATTAAGGCAGGCGCATGGCTGGATCCACCTGGACTTTTAATCGGTCCTTTAGGCATTTCCAGCAGTAGCACCACCAAGCATACCCTTGACGCTGGCAACTTGCTCGGGGGCGTAGCTGGGGGCCATGGAGCCCATGAGCAGGAAGAAGATGAGGAGGATAGCACCGAACACGATGAACTTGCGCTGGGCGGGGTGGTTGACTCCATACTCAGCCCAGGCACGGTTGGCCTGACCAGTGTACTCCTTGATCTTGTCACCGCCAAGCTTGTAGTAGACGAGACCAACGAGAGCAATCGAGTAACCGAAGAACTGGGTGAGGGTGACGGGGGTCTGCCAGATCATCATGGAAGCAGCGACCAGAAGGATATCCTTGAGGACACCGCACAAGGTCATGACGAGGGAGGAGGTCTTGCCAATCTGTGTGGATGCGTCAGTAAATTGATCCCCATGTAGCAACGCGGCGAAGAAGTGTTTCTTACCAGGAAGACAACGGAAACGTTGAGGAGGAAAGCAACAACGGCATTGGCCAGCAATGTCCAGACACCAACGTTGTAGATGTGGCCCATGGTAAGGTTGGGGACCTCAAGGAAGAGAGCAGTGACACCGTTCATGACAGCACAGACAGGAGCGAAGTAGTAGAGGGAGACAAGAGGGTCCATCTTGTACTCGGCAGAGCTGAGCAGGCGCTGAACCATGACCAGACGAGTGGCCTCGAAGACAATACCACCGAGCTGGAAAAGGAATCCGATGAAGACAAAGCGGATCTCACCGAAAGAAGCAATGATGACACCAAGCACGATAACGCTGACGTTCATCAGGACCTTGAGATTGACAGGAGCCATGCCCATACCCCAAGTAGCGAAAAGAACAGCAACGGGGGTAGTAGCCTGAGGGGGAAGTCAGCAAGGGAAACTCTTGCTCGGCATGGAACGACTGACCTTGAGCATCTGGATGAAGGCAACACTCAGATACAAATAAGTCACATTACCGCAGATCAAACTCAGACTGAAGAAAAGACCGATCGGAACAATAGCACGAAGGTAGACACGGCCAGTCATCTTCACGGTCTTCCGTCCATCGAGCAGAGTGGTGGTGCGCGCCAGAAGCTGGGTCATGAAGGTCGCAAATGCCAAATGCCATGTTGTGAGGATGATAGCTAGATGTCGTTAGTTGGACTGCGGGACGATATCGAGATAAGTCACGAGCAACGTACGAAAACCTAGGAACAGAGAGAACAATTAGCGATATGGTCATCAAAAATCGGAGCCACCGAGTGTAGAACTTACGGAACTGGGCATAATCAAGGATATGCTTGTTGAACAAGATGACACTGGAACTCAAAGTGATCCAGACACTGATATTATCTTAGTACTCTTTCCATTCGAGTCCTTCAATCTTGGTGTAGCTTACCCGACATAGACAGCAGGGTGGAAGGCAGGCTTCGGGGGCTCTGCCTTATCAACAGCGGGATTGACGGTGGGCAGGGTAGGCTCCGGACGAGAGACCTCTCCGGAGGTTCTGGCTTTTTCGCCCTCAGACATTGTAAAGGTGCGAGTCTGGTCGGATAAGAAACGTTGAAATTCAAAAGGTCGCGGCCGTAAAAGGCTGCTTTGTCCGAACTTGGCGGAGGCCACGGGTAACGGTTGTCAAGAAAGGACGTAAAGAGAAAAAGGAATGGTTGGCAGAGAAAGGTGGATAAAAAGTCGAGAAGCCTGAAAAGTCTGGAAACGAGTGAGACTAGAGTTGGACAAGAAAAGGATAGTAAGAGAGTGAATGAGAATAGAACGGGTGTGAAGAAGAATGGTCGGGGTTGGAGGAGAGAAGAGGGAAGAGGAAGAGGAGAGGACGAAGGGGGCTGTTTGGTTGATGGGGGGGTGTTCGTTGAGGTAATTTTCAACTCTCGGGTAAGCAAACAGGGTACCAAGAAGAGAGGTTACTTACGGCTGGATTTCCTGTGGGATGGCAGCGGGAGTGAAGAGACGGCTCGGGAAGCGCAAGTAAAATTATTTAGGGGTGCCGAAGAGGAGAGAGTCAGGGAATTGTGAGGCAGGGAAGAGAAGAGACGGAGAGTGTAAGAGCGACGGAGAGAGAAAGACAAGAGAGAGAGGGCTGGGTCCGCATCAACACCGAGAGGGCAGATCGTGGCTCAGGACACGATATGTCGTTCGTTGGTCGTCTTTCTCACAATTTACAAGGAGCCAGCAGTAGTGGTTAGTACTGCGCTGACCGTCAACTTACATACTGGACTAGGAGTTAGTTTCCCTCTGGACCCGGACCTGAATCCCCAAACTTTAGTGGCTAGCATGCATTCTACTACATCTTCCTAACCTGTGGACGGATGGGTTGGTTGGTGGGGGGTGGGAGGAATGAACCGGAACCAGAGTCAGTGTGATAATGCTAGCATTTAGTTTAGTTACTGTAGTAAATTGAAAGGTACGGTGGAAGTAGACTACTAGATAAGGAACCATTTTTAACCTTGCCGATTTAATACTTGATGTCTCTCTGCATCCATCTATCTATCTGCCTTGCCTGGTCTCACATTGAGCACTTACAAGAATAGTTGATAGTAGTATACCCTTTGGACTGGTTTGTTGTGCATATATTCCCAAGATTTGCTGGAGAATTATAATTAGATACCATTCGTATGCTACCCCATGGACGCCGAAGCAGGTGAAACACCACCAGTGGTTCTGACGGGCGGTTTCGAGTTCTAGGCTGGGAAGAACAAGCCCATCGCGGTGGAGGCCAAAAGTGGAGTGACGAGGGGCGAAAAATTAGCGGGCTGGAGACCCGGCACATACACTGTATTGCAGCAAATTGTCCTCGCAATGGCCACAATTTGAATTCAGTACCGTAATGGCTTGGTTATTACGAAATTATTCTCCCCAACTACCGCTGCTGGCACAACCAAGCCCCCGGGTACGGAAATGGTATGAACAAATTGTAACAAAACATTTGCCAGTTCCAGACCTCCATCTGCATTCTGCAAACGTCGTCAACTATCTACTATCGACTTCTATTTTATACTTCCTGTCCGTTCTCATCATCATTGACTTGCGACTCTTTCTGCATCATTATCTCTATGCTCGATGCTGCCGGTGTTTGCCCGAGCCTCACCGCGATTCTCAATGCGTATTCGATATATTGCTGTCTAATTGCAATCTGCGAGTGGATGGACGACCTTGAAACCATCTCTCGGTACGGCCGTGGGGCGAGGCAAATGCTCATCACTCTCGTGGCGAGTTCTGCTGTCCTGGCGAGCGCTGGTGGTTGGTGTCAATCTCCAGGTCTCCACCATCGGGGGGGCCCAGTAGTCGCTGGTTGTTGCCCCTTTTCCGCTCGCTCTGGCTAGAGATAGGCTGTTCTGGTTATTACCATTATGGGGCCCCCCAGCGACTTTCCTTGGTAGGAAACGCCATCTACACTCTTTTTGGCTCTTTGCCTATTTTTTTTATCTTCTCGTCTTCACCCCCTAAATTGATACTTCTGGTTCGACAAATGGGCAATTACTATCTGCTGATTGAGTACTCCTCTAGACTACTTGTGGATCAATCCATATTGTGTCCGATAAGAACGTAGAAGGGGAGAGGGGGGAAAACAAAAGAAATGTTAATGGAGGGGAGGGACACATCAACACCGACTTGCGACAATCACTGTTGATCAAAATTAACGCCGGCTGGTTTGGTGCAGGATGCATTACGCAAGCAGCCCGCTAGGCCAAGCACTGTCTTACCCGCGTTCAGCGGCCACTTGCTCATAGCGCCGCCGCAAAGGTCCCTTGCGGGTGGAGAATGCGGCGATCTGAAGGCTGAGGGGCCTGACGCCATCACCATGGTTCAATGGCGTTTAGAGCAAATGGTACGACGGAGCCGTCCTTAGGTTGCCCGTTCCCTCAGGGACTCTTTCCCAGACCCACGAGGGTCCGGATAGTTCTGTTGTATGGAGTCCCGTGCCGACGTGTACCATCCTTCGGGTCCTGGTCGACAATATGGATTGTTCGTGTTCTCGGTCTGGCCATGGTTACTGTATGGTTCAATCAATAGCATACAGATGTCCATGCAAAGTTCTGACCAGGATTCGCTGCTTGCGCGTCCGTCAGAAATAAGGGCATTGACAGGAGGGTCAAATTACGAAAGCCTCAGGGGGCGAAAATTGAAGCTTTTGTTAGTGTGTATTTGGTCCCTCAGTCCCTGAGTGGGTGACAACTCCATCTGCTTGCATCTCAAATCCCAGACAGGTTAAGCTGATAACCGTTGTGTGCGCTTCTGGAAAAAGATCCTCTCTGCCTTTCCCTTTCAAGAAGGACAACAAGTGGAGCCGTTCGACTGTTGCCCGGCTCATGTGTTCCCTACTTATCTACCCTGAAGTTGACAGACCGTCAAATAGGGGACGATCCATGTTGCCGATGCTCGCCATCGACGTCCTCCTGGACCAGTTAGGTCAGGTCCACGCCGCTGCGGAGTACTAGATACGCAGTAGGTAGTACCTTGCGCAGGAGGCAATCGACTGCCACTGGTCGTAGGGAGTGCTTGGTTGGCCGCTCAGCAGGGATGTGTGTGCACAATGGATACACAGCTCATTTCTTATGACTTGCCTGCAGCTTTTGATGAAGGTGATCGGGCTATCAGTTGCACGGGATTGTTATACATACTGCCCACGGTTTTCCGTTAGTGGTATATGTCTTTCCTGTGAGCTTGGACCTAGCCCCCTCTTCTGAGTGTGAAGTTTCGTATATATCCGAGGGTCCAGAAGATGAGATACCAGACGGCAGCAGTGATCTATCGAACGGAATTCATGATGCTCTCGTGGGGTACACAAGATCCATCGCCGAACTGCATTACCGTTCTTGGTAAACGGCAACCGTCGCTCCGCCAGCGGATGGAGCTCTACGGAGAAAAAGCAGATGCTAGGACTCCGTAGGCCGTAGAAGCTAGAGACCCTTAAAACCAAGAATGAGCAACGCGCATGCATTCCACTAGACGATAGCCCCTGGCAGGCCGGTGCCTGCCGAGAAAACCCCATGGATCCCGTATCACAGTGCTTGCAGGTGGATGAGCTTTGACGCCGGACTTGGGGGGGTGGTGATGCTGCTGCATTCAGATATAACGATAAGCAGTGCGACAACAAGGGCCAATCGTACGATCGGAATTAGCGGAATATTCATTATTGCGGTAGTAGGCGTCTGGCTGGACGCAGTCGGATACTATTCTTGAACATTTTGATGCGTTCATGGGGCTAGAAAGGGCTATTTGCCTGCTGGGCTACGGAACGATTGCCTAGCTATGATCCAACGAAAAAGCAGCAAACGCGCAGATGGCGCAAGGAAAGGTGTATCAATGGTTGGCAACCCGGAATATTTTTTGGGTTTATTTTATTTTTAACAATATTTTTATCTTCGTGTACTTTTTTTTTCACTTCTTTCGTAATTACCCAGAACGAATGAATGGTGATTGCATGAATCGATCAGCCCCGACCCATGCGTCCTCCAGACCTTTAAGATGAGGGATGATTTGGATTGATTGGGGTTGGAAATTAGCTTTGTCCCCTTTGCCCCTTTTCCAAGGCTCCGCGACTGGGGCTTCGGCGACACGTATTGCTATTAATTATTAGTCGACTTTTTTTGGGGAAATCCGATAATCCGATTGCTTGATCTATTAGGGCCTAAACTTGAAACCGATTCCAAGCGCCCCCCACCGCTTGCTTGTCACGTTTCGCTTTCCCGACCGACCGCAGGACGGATACACCTATACCTTCCCGCCCATCTCCCTCCCCTTCTTGCTCCCTCCATCACCAACCTCTCTTCTCTCTCTCTCTTCCTCCCCTCTCATCTCTCTCCTTATAACTCTGCTGTCCCTGCAGCTTCACAAGGCTCGTTTTCTATGCTCAGCCTCGCCCGCAGGACTTTGAACCGTGTCCCCAGCTTTCAGGATATTCTACAAGGCAGGATGACCCACCCCGATATGTAAGGAGACCTTTCCCCCTCCCTCCAACGGCAAGCTTGCCTTCACTACAACAAGAAGCTCATTGGAACAATTGCTGACCGTTGTCTTTGTGCTTGAATTCAGCTCCGTCGACGTTCTCGTCATTGGTGCCGGCCCTACTGGTCTCGGTGCCGCGAAGCGTCTTAACCAGATTGTACGCATTGCGCGCCCCCTATCGTCTACCTTCACTCGAATAAAGGCTAATTGGACAATTCGCGGGTGTAGGATGGCCCCTCTTGGTTGATCGTTGACAGCAACGAGACCCCTGGTGGTCTTGCTTCCACCGATGTGACCCCCGAAGGCTTCGTATGTTGATTCCCACTTTCCCCTCAATAGGCAGACATTGCACTGGTCAAGCAAACAGCGACTGACTCGTGACAATCACAGCTCTTCGATGTTGGTGGTCACGTCATCTTCTCCCACTACAAGTACTTTGACGACTGCATCAACGAGGCTCTCCCCAAGGATGACGACTGGTACACCCACCAGCGTATCTCCTACGTCCGCTGCCAGGGCCAATGGGTTCCCTACCCCTTCCAGAACAACATCTCCATGCTTCCCAAGCATGAGCAGGTCCGCTGTATCGATGGCCTGATCGACGCTGCCCTCGAGGCTCGTGTCGCCAACACCAAGCCCCAGAACTTCGATGAGTGGATTGTTCGCCAGATGGGTGTCGGTATCGCCGACCTCTTCATGAGACCCTACAACTTCAAGGTTTGGGCTGTGCCTACGACCAAGGTAAGATACGCTGGACCACATGGCAAGTAACGGTGTGCTGATTCTCATTAGATGCAATGTGCCTGGTTGGGTGAGCGTGTCGCTGCCCCTAACGTCAAGGCCGTGACGACCAACGTTATCCTTAACAAGACCGCTGGTAACTGGGGTCCTAACGCTACTTTCCGTTTCCCCGCCCGTGGTGGTACCGGTGGTATCTGGATCGCTGTCGCCGACACTATCCCCAAGGAGAAGACTCGCTTCGGTGAGAAGGGCAAGGTCGTCAAGGTCAATGCCAACAACAAGACTGTCACCCTGGGTGATGGCACCACTGTCGGCTACAAGAAGCTCGTCTCCACCATGGCTGTCGACTTCCTCGCTGAGCAGATCGGCGACCAGGAGCTCGTTGGCCTCACCAAGCAGCTCTTCTACTCCTCCACTCACGTCATTGGTGTCGGTATCCGTGGTACCCGCCCCGAGAGAATCGGTGACAAGTGCTGGGTAAGTTGACCTTCGATGTAAACCATGAATGACTTAAAAACTAACATGATCGTTACTAGCTCTACTTCCCCGAGGACAACTGCCCCTTCTACCGTGCCACCATCTTCTCCAACTACTCCCCCCACAACCAGCCCGAGGGCTCCAAGAAGCTTCCCACTCTGCAGCTTGCGGATGGCTCCAAGCCCCAGAGCACTGAGGCTCAGGAGGGTCCTTACTGGTCCATCATGTTGGAGGTTTCCGAGTCTTCGATGAAGCCTGTCAACCACGAGACTCTCCTGGCTGATTGCATTCAGGGTCTCGTCAACACCGAGATGCTGAAGCCCACCGATGAGATTGTCTCCACCTACCACCGCCGCTTCGACCACGGCTACCCCACCCCCTCCCTGGAGCGTGAGGGTGCTCTCACCCAGATCCTGCCCAGACTCCAGGAGAAGGACATCTGGACCCGTGGTCGCTTCGGTAGCTGGCGCTACGAGGTCGGTAACCAGGACCACTCTTTCATGCTCGGTGTTGAGGCTGTTGACAACATTGTCAACGGCGCTGTCGAGCTGACCCTCAACTACCCTGACTTCGTCAACGGTAGACAGAACACCGAGCGTCGGCTGGTTGACGGCGCCCAGGTTTTCGCCAAGAGCCAGGCCCAGTAAAGGGTTGAAATGTTAATAGAATTACACGGGTTTTAATTTTTTTTTTTCTTGAATGATTCCAGGGGGCAAAAGATTTGTTTAGAGATCTGATTACGATCAACGGGAGCCATATTTCGTCATTTTTTTTACTTCTTGTTCTATCTATTTAACTTATTTTACCAATTTTCTTTTTGCTCTTTGGCTCATTGAAAGCGATGTATGGGAGATGTTCTTGGCATTTTTGTGATGCGTATCATCATCCACTTTTCCAGCCGTCTTTTGCTCCATCTACTAGACATGAATAGAAGTTGCTTATCAAACGCGTGTCTTTCTGTTAGGGACTTAATTTGCTGATTTACGTATGCCGGTTACATGTCTCGCCGCGACCCCGTGGAGATCAAATCCAGCTTCATGACAGATGACACATGTATCACCCACCGAAGTGAGGCAGTGTGTGCAGCACATCAGCCCATGCAGGGCGTTTCTATTTTCGCTCACTTCTGTCCCGATCAAGTATAATAATGTGATATATACCATAGAAGCATCGCAACAACTGAGTATGGAGTATGGAGAACGGAGTAGTATGGAATACATGAAACCCACACACATATGAAGTCTTCTACTACAACTTCGTACTTATGTACACCAATCACCAAGAGAATAACTAAATACTACTGCAGTGGTCCAATCGGTATTCCGTGTCAGACATACGTAGTGAAACATGGGATCTACTGTTGGCTATTAATCAATATCTAACATACTATCTATCTATCCTACCGTGTGATACTCCATATTTTCCTCACTACTTACTTAACCCACATCCCCCCCATCCACCAACCCACCCACCTGCCGTCTCATAAGGCTGAGTGCGAGCTCGAGCTCGAGCTCGGAGGGTTGTGGATGAAGAAGAGAGTGGCACTGACTACGTCGGAAATTATCTTTACTCATTGTTTCTACTACTGTATATCTAGGTATGCTACTTACCGCTAGTTACTGCTAGTAATCACGCAAGTATCCCTTAAGTAGTTGAGCACTGCTGTGCTCATTCATCAGTACTAGTACGTAGTATCACAACATTTATATATGATCATGCTGCAGACATACTTCAGTACATACATACATACATTCACATATACATATGCCCCCAACTCGGGACATCATGTGAATACTACTACTACTACTAGAGACTAACACGCATAAATAAGAGATAGTGATAGTTTATACCATGATGATATCAAACACCACCTACTGTACCTACTTGTCTCTCCCCCCCGGAACATCCATTACCCGCCACCACCAACTTCTCACCCATGCCAAGAAGGGTGAGCCAGCCCAAACACCTAAAGCGGTATAGCGCACTGGGGCAGGACGCGTAAGTAGTAGAACTAAACCCAAGAAAGGAAAAATACGAAAATTGGGAGAGTCGTGCAGAAAAATATGTATGTATCCACTATTTATCCAGCATCCACAGGCAGAGGAAAATTGGTTCCCCAAGGTAAAAATAGATTTTGATTATTAGTACGTAGTACTAGTAGTCTAGCCTAGGTAGGACAGGTGGTCAGAACTATCTATCTTACTCTATTATTTCTGCCCCTCATGGATGGGCGATGACGATTGAATGGAGTATGATGGCGATGAGGGTGTTCTGTTTCATGGATAGTATTGGTATTTTGATTATTTAGTTGATTTAGGATGATGCTGGTATTGAGGTGATACTGGGTAATAATGGTGAGGTCTGGGTGTGTTATTTGCAGTAATAATAGTATCATTGAGGAAGATATACATGGTTACATAACACAAGTTCGCAGCTTTGGATTCCATCCGCTTCAGCCTTATTGTCGGTCGATTTTGCTTTCTTATCCGAGCTCCCCAGTCTACACCGTCATTCTTCTACACTACACCATCATTACTGAATTTTCTGTAGCTTGCGTGTCGACTGGGCTCATTGGGATGGATGACGAATAGCCTCACGAGATCTCACCCTTCATTGGGTCCGGACACCAACTCCGCCCCCATGCTTTACGTCCCATCCACGCAACAGATTGAGGCAAAATGGCTGAGCCCTGCATGGCGTATGAGAATCTTGAATACACCTCCGACCATATGACACCTCATAGGGATGGAATCCCAAGCAAGTCGATTCTAGCATTAGAAGCTCACTTTTCCCCGGTACGGGCCAAATTCTCCGGTGCAGCAAGGAGGTCGACGTATCATCACTCAATCAATCCCATCCCCTCACAGCAGTTCCCATGACCCTCTCTCTGTCTGTTCTTGACTAGGCGTGATATCAACTGTCGTCGGTGCTTTTTGTTTTTCAGCTGTCTCCCCACCGCGGATGACATGCTTCTCTCCACCCTGCTGTCATCCCAACCGTTCCCTCTCCACACAACACGCCAACATCAACAATTACCCTGCGAGCTTAATTGCTGGGTTAAACCTAGAATTGTTGGGCCATAGTCCTTGACATCAACCTCAACTTTCTCGTATAACTCATCCGTCATGAAGGTGACATAGCTATCGAACTCCATGGCCTCCTTCAGATACGGGTTGACCGACGCTCGGGTCTGTCTAGGTGTTAACGATGGCCAGCGCAACAGGGCTACGTGAGTGCATACGTACATCCATGCATGGTTCGGAGTGGTGGTCATGTGGAGCTGCCATGCTTCCTCTACCACCGGGTACCGGTGGATTTGCCGATGGCATAGAAGCAATCAAATTGATTCTATTGGCGTTCTGACTCTTCTGAAAACTGATATTTCGAAGTAGCCCTGAAATGGCGGGCGCCTCCCGCACCATGTGTTCTTGGGGAGGATTGTGTTCATGGCCATGCTTTTGGACTCCCTGTGGATGACGGAAGGACATCAGACCTTCAACTGTCTATCTAACCCTCGAAAGATCGGCACCTACCTCTGCTGGAGCAGCTAGCGAGGAATTCACAGCCTGATGTGTTACCGTTCCCCCATGGTCTTGCTCAGGTAATAATGACACCTGCTCAGTCTCAGTCTGCGTAGCATGCGAGACTATATTCCTAGGAGCCTTGCTCTCTGTTAGCTGAGTCTATCTTATCCACTCTCAGGTATGCTGGGCCTACTCTTCGAATGGGGTTGGACCGATGTGCCCCGGTGGACCTTGGCCTCGCACTGTTCTGCACTCTAGTGGGAAGTGCTACTGGAGCTTTTGTAATCTCTGCACCCGATCTTTCACCAGGGCCATTGTGATGGACGGCAGCAGACCCCGGCAACGAGAGATTGGCCCGCTGGCCGCGTGTCTTCCTGGTCAAAATATCTGCAACGGGCATCTTGATCACCTCCAGCGCCGCCTTTGGTCTGGAAGAGGGCCGTGCAAGAAAGTCAACTAATTGTGTTTGTTGCGCAGCTAGATTAACACATGTGGATCCTGAACGGATCTCGAGATCAAGGCTCGGACGGAGATCCGAATCTTGCACTTTAAATCTCGACCACGTCTGTCTCAGGTTCTCTGAAAAATAGCCAAGTTAACACTTGGTAGCTGTGAGGCCCGAGAATGGTATTTGAAGCTCACCTACTTCATTCGAGGTGTCTATGGAATTCAGCGAGCCACCCGCCAACTGAGTGCTGCAGGAAAGAGTTTCTCGATTCAGTTCCCTGGCGCCAAGGAGAAGCGGGTGAGAAAGTGAGTGACGATGTGGTACAATCGAGCACCTTCCACCATTCTTCGAGAAAACACTAGCGGGGATAGTAATCGATGGTACGGTTGCTATAGTGAGAGGTTGGCAGGTCAGTGAATGAGGATGCAGCCTTTCAAGGCCCCGCTTTCCCGGTGATTGACCGGAGAGTCGACTGCTGTCAATTGTCTTCAATGAGAGCTGATGCGTAGTCTCTGTCACATGGTGCTCTTCACCTGTTCGAGAGGACTTTCCGGACAGGGGCCCACAGAGACCTGATGAGCAGGTGCTCATGGTCCGCGTCTCATCTTGCACCAACACAGACAATGAGTCATCTGGTTCATTGAAGATGGAGGATAATCCTGAATGGCCAACTTCAGAGTCTTGATTCGACTGCCAGGAACCTTGACTAGGAGAGTCGGGGCCCGAGCTGCAGACGGAACCGCCCGGAGAGAGGTTGTAGGGCGAAAAGAAATCCGAACCCAAGAAGGCTACACTATCATCACTATAGCTGTCACGGTCGAGGTCTTGCCGATGCCACTCGGCCATGCGAGAATGGCGAATAAGCAGCCTTTCCAGATGGTAGCGGAGATCCTCATCGCCCAGAGCAATGCGTGTAGGCTTGTATCGAATCATGGTAGTGATGTAAGATATTCTAGGGCGATGGCAGATGAGAGATGGACACAGAAAAGATAACTGTGGATAGAGCGACAGGAACAACTATGTGCCTCTGTAAGTTTATTTATTATCTTTCTCTTTTATAAAGTGTGCAAAGCTGGGCAGAAGTGTGCAGCTATTCGTGATGGGGACGGGGGAATCATCTGGCTAGACTACGAGGTTACAAGGCGCATCAGGAAAGAGCATCCAGATGGCAAGTGCGATGGAGAGATACGACTTCTATCAAGCCAGCTGAGATGGTTCTTCTATATATATTATCGTAGGTGAGTCGTGTTTCCAGAGTGATGGTAGAATGGACTAGCATCAGTAGGTGGTGGTGATGGTGGTGGAGAGTGAGATTATTAATAGTTGAATCTGTTCTATAATAGGCACCAAGATGGGGACTGCGAAAGAGACGGTGTAGTAGTATAGAAGATGGAGCAGGAGATGGTAGCGAACCACGGTAGTCTCTCGGTCTCGAACGGATCAGTGGATAGCAACATCAAAGAGGCTGAGCCGAGTCACGATCTCGCAAGTGAAACAGAAGGATATAAATACTCCAAGTAGATAATGTAGAAGATAAAGTATTGATCGTAATCAGTTAGTCGGAATGTGAGTAAGAGAAACAGATGGAAAATGGGGCTCACAGGGCTTATGTATGAGATCTACATCTCTAGGGCATCCGATTGAGCTGTGCAGAGAAATGAGAGAGGATCCATCGGCCAGGCTGCATTATTCAAAATGCCCATTGGGATGCTGCTTATGATTATTTTCAATTATTATTCGTATGACACGATTCTTATTTCTATAGAGTAAGATAAAGACAAGGTCATAGCAGGTTTAAAAATAAAATACAGGAATAGAATAAGATGATGATGATTGTTGTTTAGTTGTAGGCAGAAATTCTCCCTCTTCGAACTACTCTTTCCTTCCCGTATGTAACTCTCTACTACCACCACCACCACTTAACTATTACTACTACCAACCAAACTACTACTACTACTGCTACTTACTACTACATCGATCCCCTTTATCCCCTTTCCCTCATCAATCATATTATTTTTCTCCCATTTTCCACACACACTCTCTCTTTCTCTCCCTTTCCCTTTCTACCCCCTGCTATTTTTCCTATTATTTCAATTTACAACTGTCAGTTCTATTTACATCCTGAGTGTCCCATAATCCATTGTGTTTGGGGGTCCGGCCAGAGTTGTTTCACATCCCCAATGCATCATCCGCTACTCCTCCGACCGCCGCCATAGTCCCCCCCCCCGTCCGGCTCTCCCCTCTCTAACCAACCAACCAACTAACTAATTCTCTCTCTCTCTCTCTTCCTCGCTCTCTCTCGACTCCATCCCATCCCATCCCATCGGGGAAGCTCCTTTTCCTTCCCAGCTTCCCTCTCCTCTTCGTTTTCTTCCTTCCCCCGCTCGTTTCTTTTTTTACGTTCGTTCGTTCTTCCTTTCCTCTCTCCTTTCTCTTTTTCTCCTCCCCCTTCTCGACCTTCTGCTTGGTGCCACGCTGGTGCCTTGCCAGGTCACTATCCCGCCATCTTAATCTCTCTCCGTCTTTCTGCCTCCTTCTTGTTCTTCCCCCCAAATCATCGCTCTCCCTCAACTTCCGCCCGCACTTCCCCCCTCCTCCTCCCTCCCACCACCCCCCCTTTGAATCCCAACTCTTCCTCCCTCCTCCACCCTCATCCTGCTCTCCTCCCCAAAATTAGGTTTGGTGTATCACCAAACCCATCGCTACCTCCATCATGGATGGGGATCTCAGCCTATCCCAATCGTTAGGGGGGCTCCGCATCGCAAATCCCGATGATTCTTCCTTACATTCGTCCGAAGATGCTGCAACAACG